GTGAGTTTAAGAAAAAAGATGAATGAAAAGGACTGTGTCTAAAATTTTTTTTGTAATCATTTTAATTTAGGTTTGAGGATGGAACAAAATAATATGTTATGTTATATGTTACTGTCCATGCTTAACCTAAATATCCTGATGTCTTGTATTATGTAGCTTTCCAGCAGACATAACATAAAAACATCATTAAAAAGTATAATAAATCTGGCTTCTAAATATTAATGAAGTGTTTTCAAATTTTGTCCTCAGGGACATGGTTATCTCATTAACTTCAATTATTTTCACAGACTAATCTCCAAACAGCAATATTGTATTCTCAACTACAGAAGAATAAAGTTTTCTCCTTCTGGGAGTTATTTACTTAAGATAATAGTTCTTTTCAAATTTAAAAGCCACTTAAAGTTCTTAAAAACTCCAGGGTGGTTCAATAAATGTGAATTCAACCAATAAATTCATAGTTGAGCAAACAGAAGGCAGAGAAAAAAATAAATTCCAAGCTAATAGCAAATGTTGAAATTTGATTATAAGAAATAAATATAAGCTTAGAATCCACTAAAAAACAAATCAGAAAAAATCTATTAATGTGATGTTTACAATTCCACCAATTAGAAATATGATAAAATTAAAAGTTTGAACTTTTTTTCCTTTCTAAACATTTTTGAGTAAAAAAAAAAAATTGTTGAAATAGAATTAGAAATATATTTCACATTAAATTTTTAAATTTGAGTTCTGAGTGTGCAGCCAGAGTAACCTCAACGTCCATCAGTTCATGCAGAGTTAAAACATCCAGAGGTTAACTTATTTAACATTATCACTGTGGAACAGTGGTGCAGAAGGTACCTGCTTACAAAATGTCTATTGCAGTGTGGCTGAGACACCATTGGTGGTTGAGGAAGTGTTCACTCTCCATCTCCAAACACATGACTGAGATGTACTTGGGTAAAGTCAGAATGCAAGGATATGTAAAGATACAAGTCATTATCACTTTCTGCATTGACCCCAACTACTGTAGCATTACCACTGTGCTTAGTAAATACTGGGCAAGCTCAATGTGTCATCATGGTGTTCCTCTTAGTTGCATGCCAACATTTTGATCTCAAGGACAAATTGAGATTTGATCTTATATCAAAAAATTGTTGATGTTAATATGTCAGTTAGTAAATGGATCTCTAATATTTCTATAAAAAATTATGGAATTAAGTTCTGGTTTTAAATAAACTAGAAATTATTCTTTAAACTTAGTCAATTCAGATGTGTGATCAGGTAAGATAGAAATCCAGAAAGAGAATTGGTGCTCAATATTTCATATCAAATATTATTTTACCTCAACGTGTATTCCCAGAATCAGTTATTAATAACAACAAAAGCTATATTAAGTCTTGTTTATTTTAAGAGCAAACACAATTATCATGAACCTGTTAACATGCATTACCCTTAAATTATAAGAAATACTAGTTCTAACATTTTTTTCAACTTGACACAACCTTTGTGAAAGAAAGATTTACCCAACTTTCACACTGAAAACTACAAAATAACCTAATACTACAAAAAAAGAAAGACTTGCCTGAGAATTTGAAGTTTTTTTATATAAAGATTATGTTTTCTTATTAGCTATAATATTTAGCCTGGCTTTCATTCAATATCTGTATATTATTGTCAATCTGTACTTCAGATTCTAGCATCACAGTATATGATGCAAGTTGATTCTCTATACTATGTAAACATCTGGTTGCAATTATTTTAAAACTTAAATGTTGTGCGAAACAGAAAATCACAAGTTTAACTGGATGAAAAGCAAAAAACAAGTCATGGAACTTCAAAATTAATAAACTAAATATGAAATAATAAAGATCTTATTCTGAAACTAAAAACACTCAACATTAAATGGTTGCATTTCTATATGTAGATGGCTGGCATAATAAAAAAACTAATTATAGGATAACAGCATGACCAATGTTAGTTAAAAAATTAGTAATTTCACAAACATATTTCAACACGTTGACTCAAAGGTATTTTGTAGTCTCCACATCTAAAATGGCATTTACAGCAATGACCTTACTATAACCAAAGACAAAACATTTTTGTCCCAAGCCCGAGTCTTGACTTCAAGTGAACATTAAAAAACATGCAAGGCAATAAGCCTCATTTTTGTTTTAAAATAACTGAATCAGAGATCATAAAAAAGAATTTCAAGATTTGCTAACAGTTTTTTTATCAGTAAAAAAGTTCTTCAAAATGATAATCTGGCCAATGCCTATAACTAGAATAGCCAAGGTTTCCCCAACAGACCAGTACAATACTTTAGAGTTCAGATCTTCTGCAAACTTTCGACCTTGAGCTTCACGCAAACGATGATGTGTCTGGTAGTCAATAATGGTATTTAAATTTTCATGAACTTGTACACTTGAAGATTCCATCTGAAATAGTAAAAACACAACTTTTAAAACACATCCTACAAATAAAATGCAACTAAAACAACACTGATTGCGATTGTATGGAGTCAAAGAGCGAGAGAGATGACATATTAGATTTACTGACTAATGACGATATGACTGCAAGAATTAAAGTAGGGAATCATTTGGGGAAGAGGGATCATTGCGACTGTATGGAGTCAAAGAGCGAGAGAGATGACATTTTAGATTTACTGACTAATGACGATATGACTGCAAGAATTAAAGTAGGGAATCATTTGGGGAAGAGGGATCATTGCATAATTAGGTTCTATGTTTTGCTACATGTTGAGATAAAAGGAAATGAAAAGTTTTAGTTCCTAATTTTCATAAGCTAACTTAAAAGTTATGAGACAAGATTTATCATTAGTGGACTGGAACAATGAGTTAGAAAGTGATGTAATAGAGATTTATGAAAAGGTAAACAGGAAAGATCAAATCTAACTGGGTTATTAAAGATACAAAAGAGAAAATCAGAGACAATATCGTAAAGTTAAGAAGTTTGAATTGGCAGATAGGATAAAAGTAACAGAAGTATAGGAAGGCTAGAGATTTCATTAACAAATAAATTAGGAATCCAAAAGGGCTTATGAGAAACAGCTGCCCGATAATGTCAAACTAACAGTAGGGATATTTTTAAAGTACGTTAGGGTTAAGCAAAATGTTGTAGTGGGGATTGAGCCCTTAAAGGATGTTGATGGCAAGTTTATGGTTACTGTTGAAGTGTAGGAGAATTCTGAACTTTCAAATGTTTTCTCCTCCTCTGTATTTATAAGAGAAAATAAATTAGCAATAATTCTGACTCTGATCATTCTATGAGAAAAATTGAAATGAACCTGAATCATGTAAACATTTAATCCCTTGGTGGTAAGTAGGAAGGTTAATACGTAGATAATCCACAATGACAGCCAGGGTTTTAAATGATGACTGAAATCAGATATGCAAATCTCTCTCTAATTTTTGGCTAGTTAATAAAGAGTGGGCAGATGCTTGAGGATTAGGAAATAACTTATGTTTCTCTTTGTTTTTACGGTGATGACAACAGTTGCCCTAGAAATTACAGGCAAGTTAGTCTTAATTCTGTAATGAGAAAACTTCTAGAGTTTGATAAAAGTAGCTTCACAAAACAATTTAGTAAATATGATGTGTGTTATATATAAAAGCATACATGGATTTACCAAAAGGAAGTCTTGCCTTACTAGCCTGTTATCTTTTTTTCAAGGATATTACTTATTATATGGATGAGTAAAAAGGGTATGGATATAGCATACTTACAATTTTCAAAGGTTTTTGATAAGATAGCACATAAAACATTAAATAAGAAAATTAGATTAGTAGGGGTTGGGGAAAGACAAGTTAACTGGGTCATAGGGTAGTATTAATGATATTGTTGGGGCATAATTAGTAAATTAGTAAAGCTTGTTGATGACATTAAATCTTAGGGTATTTCAAGCTGTATGTAGGGATTTTGAGGTATTACAAAGCGAACAGACTTAACTGGTAAGTTTGACAAATATTTGGAAAATAGCCTTCAATTATAATAAATGCAAAGTAATGAAAAAGGATATCATAAGACAGGTAACATAGATGAGAACCACCTCAACAGCATGAGGATCTGGACACAGTGGTGGATAAGTCAGTTTAGCCACTAAATCAGTGCTCTGTTACTGGCAGTAAAGCCAATAACATTTTAGGGTGTATTTAGACATATTGATGACAAGTTAAAAGAAGTAGGCCTCACATGGAATACCATGTACAGTTTGGTCTCCTTATAAAATAAAGGATAATGAGTTACTCGAAAAGGTTCAGAAGATAGCTACTAGGATGGTTATAGGGTCAAGAACTCTCAAATTATTTTCTCTTGAAAAAAAGAAGGGCAGGAGGTGACCTTATTGATGTTTATAATATTATCAGGGGTAAATTGATAGAATAAAGATCTCTAATTTCTTTGTGCTACATTCTGAAGGAAATAACATGAGAGGACACATGTTTAATATTTGGAAAAAAGATAGGTTAGGCTCTAATTAAGACAATTTTATTTTTCTAAAAGGGTGATTTACTTATGAAACAAGCTCCTGCTGTTGAAAGCAGTGGAGACCAGCACTTTACAGGAGTTTAACTGAGGAATTGATAAAGGTTAAAGGGGGGTTTTACTTTTCCCATGGGTGGCTATACGAGTACACTCTTGAAGGCCTAAGTGGTCCCTTGCTGTCTATAGGTTATGTTACATTATTACAGAACAGGTTTTCATCTCACCTGATGAAGACATGCACTGGCAGTTCAAAACATCATCTTCAACTTATTGGACAACTTATGGACTTATTAGTCCATAAGTTTCCAATCCAAATGCTTAAAGAGTGGTTACTAAGTCTTTGTAGGAAGTATTTTATACTAATTAAAAAAATAAGCAGCATATTACAGAAATTTAAAGAAATCATGAATTTAGTTTATAATTACATTTTTCACTATGTAAACAACTCCATACCTTGGTCATAGCTGATAACTGTTCTCCTACTCCTGGAAGAGGTTTTTCATCCCCCACTTGAAAGTCCATGTATACCAGTTTGTGACTGAAGGTAGAAAACTCATTGCTGAAGCACACAGTATATATACCTGACTGAGCAGCTGTCCACGTAAAGCTGTCAAATTGTTTCTTTATTCCCTTGTATAGAATCTGGCGATTTGGAGCTTCTAGGCTCATGTCGACATCATAGTTTCCACCTGTTACAACCTGTTTAAATCAAAATACATACATGTATGTGTTTTATTCCAATAAATACACTTAGTCAGTTTCCTTCCAGAATATTGTCAGACATAAATTTATGATTTCATGTTAGAATCCCTTGTCTTGCAACATTAATTTTTTTGTGTCATTCAAAAATCAGTTGTGCAACATATTAAGGCCTACTGCTCTCAGTTACATAATTTATCCATTTCACATTACGTACCATCAGCACACACTTTACAGACATCTACTATTAAAAATTTATGTGAGATAAACCTTTGGGATTCATCAAGTACTGTGATATTTCTGGAATGATAGACAAGAAAGTCTTGTGCAAGTGAAAGCATAGTTGATCTTTTGTTGTCAATTTAATCACAGCAAAACAGTCACATACAGCTGCAGAAGGAAAGAAGTGAATGTCTGAGAATTCCAGGATATATCATAAAACTTGTGTGAAAGCATGTTACCCTATTAAAGATATGCGGTAGTCACATAAATGCCCTGATCTATACAACCTATAACCACTAAGAAACTTGCATAGTTAAGGCAAATACATTTGTGTGTGGAAATACATCATTAGATGATTTGATGGTGAGGAACTCGCTTTGAGAATAATAAATTTAGGGATAGCTTGAATGATTGGCATTGTGATCTGTATAGCTACATGAAGCAGTCTAAATTTGCCAACCAAAGTTAGGATTCAAAATCATTTTAAAATCTCTCTAACTAGTATCACTTTACTTATTTGTGTACTTTTTATTGCAGCATTTATTTTGTTCTGGATACTTCTTATAGTAATAACCAATGATCCCTACTTTCTCTTAAGATTTTAATTGTTTTTCCTATTTATCATAAAAAAAAGCCAATATTGTTATCTGGATGATGGGAACAGTGTGGAGTTGGTATACTTAGATTTTGAAAAGCTTTTATTAAGGTACCATACAAAAGAGTAGCTAAGAAAATCATAACAGAAGAGGTTGGAAAAAGATTAGTTAATTGAATTTTAGGGCAGTTGGATGAGAGAAAACAAATGGTTGTTATTAATGGAAACCAAAAAAACTGGACACTTATTACTAGTGGAGTGCCTTAAGGGTCTGTGTTAAGACTTTTGCTTTTTGCTATTTATATGAATAATATTGAAAGGGCCATAATTAATAAATTAGTAAACTCTTGTCTACTTCTAGCTATATTGAGGATGTTGAGTACTACAGAATGACTTGGATCAACTGGTAAGATGGACAAATAGTTGGCATATGACCTTTAATTGTGGTAAATTCAGCAAGGTAATGAATTTGGGTTACCAAAATTTGGATTGCATTTTATAAAGATGGAAACCAACTCAAAAACATGACTGAGAAAAAGGACCTTGCTATAGTGGTCAGCAAGCCAATGCTCTGTTGCTAGTAGTAATGCTAAAAGAATTTTAAGATGTATTTATGAACGAACATTGATTAGAAGTCAAAAAAGGTAATAACCTTTTGAAATACTGTGCAAAGATTTGGTCTCTTTATTTAAGAAAGGACAATAATTAATTTGTGAATAGTTCAGATAAGGTTACTAAGATTATTCCAGCAATGGAAGGACTTTTTTTTGGGGGGGGGGATAGGTTAAGATCTTTTAACTTATTTTCTGTTGAGAAAAGAAGAATAAGAGGTGATAATTATTTAAAGCTCTGGATACAACTGCTGAAACCAAAAATTACAGGGGTGATTTTAAGGTGAAATTATCACAGACTGTATTGTAATAACAGAGCAGGAAGAATAATTCATATTGTCAAGTTTGTTTTAAAGTAACTGAACTAGCCTATGTGGATCTTGATGAAAAGGAGACAATTATTTAAAGCTCTGGATACAACTGTGATAACCAACAGTGCAATGAACATTTGTATATATGTTTAACTAATATACTGTTTAAAAACAAGAGGACAGTGCTGTTTGTTTCTTGTTGAAATTTACTGCCAACAAGTCACAGACACCTACTGTAAAGAATTCGGCCCATACATAAAAACAGACAATGGGTAGGCACCAGAGGATTGCAGAAGCTCTAATGTTACTTCTATTTCTAAATAGAGTGATTAGTTGTTCTGGAATAATAGGCCAGTTAGTCTTACTTCTGTAGTGGAAAAGGTTCTAGTCTGATAAAGGAAGATTTACACAGCCATTTAGAGAGAGATGATATCACAAAAGAAAATAAACATGAATTCTGTAAAACGAAATTGACCCTTAATAATCTGTAATGTTTTTGAGGATGTAACATGCTATTTGGAAGATGGAAAGGGTGTGGACTTGGTGTACTTAGATTTTCAAAAAGCTTTTGAGAAGCTGCCAAACAAAAGATTAGTTAAGAAATTCACGGTGGAGGGGGTTGGGAAAGACTAGTAAATCGGACTGTTTGGAGTCAAGTAAATTTGAAGAAGTTTAAGGGAAGGCTTGATAAATATTTTAGTAATCAGGAATTCACAGAACAGATGTATTGGACCGAAAGACCCCTTGTTGTCTCTTAAACTAGACTTTTATTACTAGTGGAATGTTTCAGAGACCTGTACTTGGGCATTTGCTCTTTCTTTATACTTTAATTTTATTGATAGGGGTGTTATTAGTAAGTTAGTAAAGCATGTAAATGACACCAAACTCTACGGTATTTCTAATTGAATGTTGTGTTAATTGGTTAGATGGACAAATACTTGACAAATGACATTCAATTATAGAAGTGCAAGATATGCAATTGGTTTATCATTATTTGAATCACACAATTAGTGTAGATGAAACTACTAAATAATATGACTGAAAAAAAAAAGGATCTTGGGATAGTGGTGGAAATCACTTACACTATCAAGTAGTAGCAGTTAGCAGTAGTGGCCATGAAAGCATATTTTAAGGGCGTACTTACAGACATATTGTCAGGACTTAGGATACTGTTATCCTGACATCATATATAAATTTGTTTACAGTTGTTGCAGAGGTACCTGGCTCTCTAGAGTGATAATGAGTTTATTGTAGTGTTACTTAGGTTAGAAGTGGTTATGTAAAGGTAAATATAAGAGCTGCATTTTTTACATGTATACATTTTCCAGTATGTTTAGGATCATTTTGTTGTGGTCAAGAGTTTGAGAAGTGTTTTATTTCTTTTAAGTACATGGTAAGGCTGACATTTTTATCTGAAGTTATTGCTGAATATGGAGCAAAAATATTATTTCTTGGAATGATAATACTTGATTACGGTTGACTCTGTGTGACTTTACAAACATAGTCAAATAGGCTTGAGCAATTGGGGTGAGATAGCAGCTGTGTGTTTGAGTGCACTGAGTTACAAAGTATAAGTCTGGTAGGTGTTCTTATGAACTTGTTTTGATAAAAATGTAGAAAGAAAGGACTGAAAAAGCTTCTAATCTCATTAAACCATGGAGTTTGTGCAACATGATTTTTTTTGCAAGCTTGAACTTGTTTTGGGTTTATATGCAGCACTGTGCTAATATTGTTAAACCTTGTGTTTACCATTGTTGTTATGTGTGTAATAACGTTAAAAGGTTTGAGAAGTATAGTAATTTTTGAGATGTACAAACTAAGCATTAAATTGTGTGTTGAATTGTAAACTCATATTAAATGGACCAATGAATTGTATATAACTTAATTATGCAAAAAAATATCACTTGGAGAAAGCCTAACGAAACTGTATAACAGTTTATAACGCCATTAAAAAAGGGAAATACATTATTGCTAAAACTTATTTAGAAGAATTTTGTTGTGAACTGAAGTAATTTGCAATAAATAAGTTGACTAAGAACTAATGTTAATAATTAAAGTGGAGCCAACTGTTCAAATTAAAATTACTGTATATGGTAATTTGTAAAAAAAGTTAAATACATGATGGGTATGAGAGTGAAATCTAATAATAAAAACAATTTTATTACAGAATTAAAAATGTGAAATGAATTATGACAGAAAGATGGTCATTGAAGTTTTCTATTAATTCTATTTATCTGGTAGGGAATTACTTTGTTTGTCTTGTGTTTGTTCTGCTGGCATTATCTAAACTTAAGTCTTTTGATCATTAGTTGTTAAACCAAAGAACCTTAGCAATCAGGATGATTTAGATATATCACAGTATTGATTACAAGTCACAAGCGATAATGATCTACCAATGGAAATTACTAGTTTGGTCTCACTTGAAATATTGTGTACAGTTTCGGTCTATTTATTTATGAAAAGATACTGAGTTTATAGATTGATATGATAAACGGAGATAATTTTTCTGTGCTGTATCATTCCAACATGATGAGAGGACACAAGTTTTAAAATTAGTAAAAGACAAGATCATTTCCTTAAAAACTAGTATAGGATGGCACGTTATGAATTTAAAAGGGTAATACATGAATTCCTCACAAATAAATATTGGTTCAAAGTTTTTATTTATTTTGAAGAGTGGGTGGGCAGGAACATCCTTTAAGTACCAAATGATCCCCTATTATCCATATGCTATATTTTTCTCTCATGTATATCATCCTGTAGCAATATAGAAACCAGACATCCATCATCATCAAAAGGCTATGTTGACATTTATCATGGTCAGTTTTTTAGAAGATAAAAGCATCAACTGAAGAAACCAAACAGCTTTCTGTCATCTTACTTGTTTCTATCATTTTGAAATGTATGTATAATATACAAAGAATTTTCATTGAAACTGACTACAGTTTATTTTCCTCAAATGCTGTTGAGAAGTTTGGTACAACTTATTAAATTAAAATTTATTAGAGGAATTACAAATCATTCAGTTAGTCATTCAGCATAACCACACTAATCCTTAGGAAGATTTCAAATAACCCCAAAACTCTGGTACTTTTGAATAGTTGACTATTCGTCTTCAGGAGTATGAAGGGCCACTAATTCTTTTTACTTTTGCTTATGTAATATTGCAGGCTTAAGGCAATTTCCTGCGAACACATTAAGCCAGCATAGTGAAATAATTTGTCTATTTTTTCAACTCATGTACAAGTATAGATTAACTTTCCATTAGTTTTGTTAGCTGAGACTAATTTACTCAATATATTTCAATTATTTAATTTAGAGGCTAGACTGAAGACTACAGATAAATTGACCTAACATAAAAATTCTGCTAAACCTACCATTCCGAGCTTGAATATTTATACCCAGTATTCAAGTATACACTTTATATACATTATTATTTTGGTAAGATATTGAATGCATCTACTAAATCACGATTTTAATATTTCCCCCTAATTTCGAAGTAGAATCCAGTTAAACTGGTTAGCTCAAACAGTGAAAAAATAATGGTACTTAATCTGTATATTTGGGCTAGCCGGCTATTTTAAAATTTGTCGGCAATCGAGGAAATAACGCCATCCAAAAGGTTAGTATTAGTAATAATAAAAGCAAAATTTACATATAATGTACCTGAAATTCTACTGTTGATAAAGTTCCTTCAGTTATCTCTTCGTGGAAACACTGCTTGGCATTATCTGGTAGTTCAAAGGTAAGCTCGACTGCACCTACACTTCCAATTATTTGACAGACTAATATTACTATAATTAGTAAATAAAACAAAGTTAATGGGCCTACACGGTTTAAACTATTTACAAGACGCATTATGAAGGTAAATCATATAACTATATTCGACCACACAAGTTTCTCTGAATATCTGTTTAAACTGTTAAATCTAACTCTAATACGATAATAAGCTTAATCACTTCATAAATGTATATACTTTTTTTTTTCTTTCGAGAAACTGTTTACCTTCCAACGTGTAATACACCCATAAAACCAACGTGGCGGTCGGCTTAGCTACCACCACTAGAGCGCCGTTTACACAATTCAGATATTCAATTAAAAAAAATATTGGTATTAAAGCTAGATTTTCACATATCGCGCTTTTGTATAATTTATGAATATTTGAGAGACAAATAACACCAGATTATTGGCATATATTTTTCAAAGTTGACAAATATTTAAATTTTAAATTTATTTCCATCTTTCATAACTTTTAAACAATCTATTCATATTATTGTTATAATAAAAACGTTGTACATAATTTAATAAGTAGAGTTGTTTAGTGAGTGAAAAACACGTAAATACACCAGTTTGATTAATGAAAAACTTTTTTAAAAGAAAAAGATTCCAAAGTGTGGATTAGGTTTTAATTCACAAGGTATTTTGTGTTTTCTTGTTTGCTATAGGTGACCTCATTCAACACACACACAAAAAAATAATCATTCTTTGACGATTCTATGATATATCCGAATAAAAAGTAAATTATATCTTTTGTCCTAGTCAGTGAGTTCAAGTCATTTCAAATATTTTTTTAAGAAAGGACATTGAATTGTTGAAAGGAGAGCTACTAGAATGATACCTTGGATGGAAAGGTTATTATATGAGGATAGGTTAAAATCTCTGAACTTATTTTCTCTTGTGAAAAGAAGAGAGGATATGATTGAGGTTTTTTAAGAGTGTTAAGGGAATTAATAGTATTGATGCATCGTTTTTTTCATATTTAATGGCGAAAATGGTTAGACTAGGAGACACAGATATAACGGGTCGCTTTCGGATGTGGGGAGGCAGTTAAGGAATCATGATATAAATATTTGAATGAAAATTACTGGCTTTGAGCTTTTTTAAGGGTTTAGTTTAATTTAATAGATAGGTCAGCCTCAATGGACCAAAAATGTCTCTTTCTGCCATTTAATGTTATGTTACTTAAGTAAATGTGCAATTTTTCTAATATATATGTATATATACTCTAAACACACATCTTGAATTTAAATTGGTAATTTGCACAGACCATTCTTTCAATTCATTACTTAAACTTAACCAACATATTTGTATAGGATGGTCTTTTTGATTTCCTTTAAAATATTTAAACACAAGTATAGCAACAATCTACTGATTTATGGTGCAATTTTCACATTTAAGTTATCATCCGTAGAAGACAGTACAAATATATGATGAACAAACAAAGGTGAAATGGACAGCAACTGTCTAGCACAACGTGACACTACAAAACTCTTGCAAAACCAATGGAACTAGACCTGAAGAAGAAAGACAGAAATTTTCGAAACGTTGTCCTTTTTCATCTTTGCTACTCTTGTTTGTTAGATTTTCGAGACTTTTTTCACAAGTGTCACTCTGTACTAGGCAGTTGCTGTCCATTTCATCTTTATTTTTTCATCACGAAAACGTTGTGTAAATCATCCATTAAAGAGTACATTTTAATTAACAGGACCACGTGTTAATAAGTAAATTCTATTGAAACGATACCCTATCCGAAGATAAGATAATTTAGATATATTTATTTTGATGTTTTTATATGAGACTAATAATTTAAAATAAATTGGAAAAATGTCAATAGATGTCGCCCTAATACTTAAAACTTACTTTTTACTGATTCCTTTGGTTAATGCTGTTCTATAAAAGTATCTTCCTCAATTTGGCGTAGAAATGCCATCCCATTATTTAAAATGCATATATGTATATATATAAATAATGTTATTAAAACCTTTTTACATGTTTCATGGTTTATTGTATTCAATCAGCAGTTTAACAACGAACATATTGAAAATGTTCGTATATATATTATGTTTATTATTTTATTCACCTTATTCATTGTAGTTTATTGACTACGTGTCTTTATTTTGAAACCCCGTAATGCCATTATTTTCTAAACTTTAATTCATGTCTTGAATCTTTTTACGAGTTATAAAAATATGTAGTTAAAAGTATATTTTAGCAATTTGTTTTAACTCAGTAATCGTGAGGCGAAAACGTGTAGGTGGTAATTTTGAACAAAGAAAACTTGCTGGACTAACTTTTCATATAAATATTTCCAAAGGGTTCGATCTCTTGCTTCGAAAGATGCAACGAAACTCCAAAATGTTGCTTTGGTATTGAAGAAAGGTATTTCCAAAGCAAGGCCACTTTTCTCAGGGGTTGACCTTGATTTGCACCTTGAAACTGGTTTTCAACACATTCGTGACATCCAGGACACTATTGGCACTTACTAGAAGGAACAATAAATGTTCGTCAAGTATTTTAATAACTTTCGTTGGTTGATACCTGATCAAGTATGTCTAACTCTTTTTATTCACTGATCGTTCTCATATAATGAAAGTGGATACGAAACATTAACAAAGTATCATGTTATTACTATTCCTTATGTTTCGCAGTCTTGCTGCCTTCCTTTGACTAGATTCTAATGTTTTTGGAGTAATACCTTTCTTTCTGATCACTTTAACTTCAACAGGAGACATATTTACACCTACAACATTTGCATCCCATTCAAACATCACACCTTCCAAATTTGCACTTTCAAGTGAAACTAGGGTAAACACGACTTTCGGACATTCTTCCAGTGTATATTGATTAGCTTAGCATTGAAAATAAGTATTTATACATAAATTGCTTTGCAAAAGGCAATGGACTTTCATCAAAATATCTACAAAAAGGGGAGGACTCGTTTTCAAATGAAAATTTCTCTGCAAGATATGGACCGATAAGTAAAAAAAAATTGTATTACTTGAGAGCTCTGATACTAAACTAACGTTGAAAAACAATTTTATATTATGAATATCAAAACAACCACTAATTTATGAAAGAACGGCTCCCAGAATTAACCAGAAATCACTTTTTATACTGACTTAGCACTTAAGAAGAAAAATCTTTATATGAAATTTAAGGATCTCTATATGTTATTTCAAAATATTTCATTAAATAGATTTACGCTCCTGGCGGTTTAGCGGTAAGTCTGATGGCTTATAACGCTAAAAATCTGGTTTCAATAGGTCATTATTCAGCTTTGTACTTAAGAATAAAACAAACAAATAGTGTTACGTAATCTTCTGAAACAAATCATTTTATTAAACGATCATATTAAGCTTTTATTTATTTTGCTTGTATGATGTACTGAGGTGCATTTATTTTCCTCAGCGTAATTGGATAAGATCTACAGAAAATTAGGAGGTTCAGCACAAAATATTATGCAGAGCTAAACAGTATTCTTTGACCTCGATTAAGTGTGAAAAAGTAGGAGAATGGACATAATTAAAACAGGTAAAACATTCTTTATTTATTACATAAAACACAATGAAAGTCACCTTTACTATAGACTGAGGATTCTCTAAAATATCGGTTTCAAGTCGGTAAAAATTCTGTTCCAGACTTAGAAAATGTATCATATATATACACACACACCATAGACATAAATAGAACAATAATGTCATTCTTCTCACTGTTGATTAATGTCATTGCTAAATACGGGACGTTGTAAACATCTTATCCACCTGTGGAAAATATCTCTATCAACTTTCACATAATTTTCAATTTTACATAAACCTGTTCCATGAGAGATCGGAAGTGAATTATCCAGAAGAATAGTTAACTATTCAAAATAGATACATTTATTATATGTTTGGTGTTTTTAGTTGTCTTATTTACACCAGAGTGAACCTATATTCATAAAGGATCTGAATAATATCTAGCATTAATAATATTAATGTATTATTTTAAATTATTCAGCAAACTCTTAAGATTCTGTATGAAGCTCAATATATATCATTCGATTCACTACTTATCACTGATCTTACATACATTTACATGATATAAAATTTTATTTTAAGTTCGAGGATAGAAAGCATGCAGTGTACTTTAGCACTATACTTATGGCCACCTTTTCAAATTCCATCTTGCTAACTTTACTCGAATTCATAATGTTTTGTGGAATCAGAACATATTAATATAAGTTTTGATTAACCATTTATGACATTTCTCGGTTTACTTATTTAGACACATAGTGTTATTAAAACTATATAGAAGTATTGCACATTTTTCTTCCTGAAATTTTGATGAGAGAAAATACGTAAAAAAATCTTTATATTAGATTTTGGCCCAACCTAGACTGGTTTCGAAAACACTGTATTTCAAGGAATGAACTGGTTTCGAAAACATTATATTTCAAGGAATGAACCAAACTGGGATGTTTCAGCAATTCTTTTGTGTTTGCTTATTATTGTTGTTTTTACAACAATAAGAAAGAATATATTGACAATTCTTACAAATATTGTTGTATAATTATAGTTGTAGAGTTTTTAGTACTGGCCAAAGCACACCTCTGCTCTCTCCAATTATGGAATATTGTCGAACTCTTTGTCACTGGGTATACCTGGTAGCATTGCGCCGTCCTTAATTTTGAACCACTAATAACAGGTTAGTAACTGGTTACTAGCAAACCTACTGTTGTTTCTTTTCTTATGTATATTATTTAGTTATTAACGAATTAACTTTTTATTAGTTTATTTAATTATGCATCATCATTGTTATCTATGAGTACTATTCGTTGATTTGCTTTCTTGCTAATGCTAACTAAATACTTATTTGGTAATAAACGTTCTGAGATGAGCTCTTAGGTCTTTCTGTTCGTTTGTTTTGTTTTTGAATTTCGCGCAAAGCTACACGAGGGCTATCTGCGCTAGCCGTCCCTAATTTAGTAGTGTAAGACTAGAGGCAAGGCAGCTAGTCATCACCACCCACCGTCAACTCTTGGGCCACTCTTTTACCAACGAATAGTGGGATTGACCGTCACATTATAACGCCCCCACGGCTGAAAGGGCGAGCATGTTTGGTGTGACAGGGATTCGAACCCGCGACCCTCAGATTGCGAGTCGAGTGCCTTAACCACCTGGCCATGCCGGGCCCCTTTTCTGTTCGTATTCTCTGTCTGCAGTGATATCGTATATAGTTTACGTAAATTCAGTAGATCAGTAAATTCTTAGCGATATATATATATAG